AACTGAATCTTTAATGCAGCGATGCTGCCAGGATTTTCTGATGTGATTTTAATCACTGTACGTTATAATGATAATAACAGGTTGTATACGTTTTATGAACCTGTTGCTGAGAATTAGAAGAAAGGAAAGAAGATGATCTGAAAATCAGCTGATATCACAGTTTCCAGTAGAGAAATGGACAAAAGGGAAGTCATGTGGAACCAGGCGCGGATGCCAAGGAGATGGTGTGTGTGTGCTGCTTGTGAAGATCCAGAGAGCTTTTATTGTTAGATTCCCAGCAGGAAGAATGAGGGAAACTGGGAAAATCTGGCACTCAACGCACATCTCAGTGTGCCCAAATGTTGTTTGAAAAAACCTTTTCATTACTGATGATACTGTAGGTCACCTCACAGATTAATATTTATATGATGAGAATCTTACTTCATAACCCCGCTGGGCGTTATTATTGATCTTACTAAACATTCAATTCCCACTCGCCCCATGCCATCCCTTCCTTTTAAGCATTACTGCCTTTGCCTTATTATTCTTCCTTTCACTCATGCTGACTTATTTCACCTTAAGCCAACTCCATGCCTTCCAATCCTTGTTCTGTAGTATTCACCCCAGCACATAGAGTAAATGATGTAAAGTTGTGACGAGTTTTCCTATATTTGTGGCAAATTTGCTAAAATTGAAGGTAATGTTGCCTTCTGATGCATCCCTCTTTAAATGGCTTTTTTTTTACTCTTTGACCATTGTGTTGAATTTATCAGCTGCAACTCTGATGCAAGTGAAACCAAGATCCTGAGAGAAACCATTCCTTTGGCCTTTCCAACAGCTTTTCAGAATCCTTCAACAGAACCCATAAACGACTCTCCCCTGGACCTGCCTGTTCTGAGAATGTTATTGCAACATCCTTGTATCAGGCATCTATTTGAAATATAATCCCCATCAAGTCATTCATTAGTTTGTTAACGAAAGGCCAGAAATCATTGTAAGTCAGACTTAACAACACAACAGAGACGCTTAACTGTATGCAGTAATACTGATATTCATCATTGCTTCAGTCATGAAAACAAAACAACATTCTTGGGTGGTGGTTGTGAATCTTATACAATTTGATTTAACATTTTAAAAGACACGAAATGAGGGAGACATGGTCTTGACCAGCTGAAAGAGTTCCTTATAAAGTATGAATGGAATGTAACTGGATATACATTAAAAGCTGGAATAGCATGTCCTTCCCTGTCATCCTTCTGGATTTGTTTGATGTTGGCTTGGAAAGAATTTAGTTGTTGAGTTCTTTAACCATCGAGCCTTAATTTAACTGAAACCTCATTCTGTCCTCAAGTAACCCTGTTCAGCCATGAGCCCACTGATCTGTTTCATGGATACCTGGGGCCCGTGTTAGGTGTTTGACACAAATTGTGGCTGCAGTAGAGCAGTAAAACATAAAAAAGGAAGACATAAAATACAAATGGTTGAAGACTTTGTCAGTGAATGAAGTGTGGATGGGCCTTTGCAGAGGGGAATCTTTAATAAGGGCCATTGCTCTGAGTGCACTTTCCCTTTGAATGTCCTCAGTGCCAAACTCCTGAGATCGGCTGAGAGATCCAAACCACTCTCCCTCACTTTTCTGCCAGATACTTCAAAGAAACTGCCCGACTGAGTACATACGAGATTCATTGCAACCGGCAGGTGCCTTGTAGTCACAGCAGGACTGGAACCTGAACTTTATTTCCATCTGATTGCGGAGCTTGGAACTGCCAGAGTACATCTCCCGAGCTGCCGTTCTGAGGCCAGATCAGCACAGCTAAAGGACGAGGTTAAGAGCCTTGTTTTTTCCACTCAGAATTTTAGACTGTGAAATGCTTTGCCATGAGTGGCTATTGAAGTTTAGGCCACAATGGCATTTAGAAAGGTATCAGGTAAGTACTTATTTGAAGAGAAACAATATAAAAAGGTCCTGTTAAAGAATGAGTAATTATGGAATCCTGTAGCTCAGTGGTTAGAGCGCTCGCAAGCAAGAGACCTGGGTTCGATTCCCGTCAGGATGAAACCTTGGGCAAGTTTCCTTACTCCACATGGCTTATAATAATCCCTGAAAAAAAACACGATAATAAATTGGTCAATTCAATCCATGACTGTTTGTGGGACACTGCTGTGCGGAATTGGCTGCTGCATTTCGCCCACAAATATACAACAACAACAACAACAACAAGATTCCATTTATAAAGCGCCTTTCACGTCAGGAGGACGTCCCAAGGCGCTGCACAGTTGGGTCATGACCCGAGCAGGGGGGAAATGGTCAGGGTGAGGGGAGGGAAGGGAGGGAGCGAGGAGGGGGGAAATGGTCAGGGTGAGGGAAGGGAGGGAGTAAGGAGGGGGAAATGGTCAGGGTGAGGGGCAGGAAGGGAGGGAGCGAGGAGGGGGAAGAGAGTCGAGAGGGGAGCTGAAGGCACGGTCAAAGAGAAAGGTTTTGAGACCGGCCTTGAAGGAGGAAAGGGAGGAAGCAAGGCGAAGGCACTGGGGGATGGAGTTCCAGAGCCTGGGGGCTGAGAGGCTGAAGGCCCGACCACCGATGGTAGGGCGGTTGGGGCGGGGGACGTGGAGCAGACCAGAGCCACAGGAACGGAGGGTACGGGCAGGTAGGTAGGGGGATAGTAGGTTGGAGAGGTAGGAGGGAGCAAGGCCGTGAATGGCCTTGTAGGTGAGGATGAGGATCTTGAAATCAATCCTCTGGGGGATGGGGAGCCAATATAGTCAATTCACTTTACAATAGATTCTGTGAAGCGCTTTGAGACGTCTAGAAGACGTGAAAAACGCTATATCAAATGCAAGGATTAGCTAGCACTTGCACTAGCATAGGCTTGATGGGCCAAACAGCTTTCTGTTAGGCTATAATTCCTATCATTCTATAAAATCCAGCTAGTCAGTTTACTTCCCGGTGGTTTCCCTGAAAGCATTTGTTTGTTAATACTGTTTGAAAGCTGGTTGTGTGACTGGGGAGTTAAGAACATTGAAAGCAAACCCTGACTTCGGCCTGGATCAGTGTGAAGCTGGAAGAATAAATCGACCTCGACCTGTTCCACATCATATTCACGGTGGGAGGAAAGTCATTGCTCGGCATCTTAAAAACAGCATGACATGTAGGAGCCCTAGCTGTTTGTATTAATTAAAATTTCAGCCGCAGTTATAATTTTCTAGTTTCATTTAAATGAATGGTCTGTTGGACACTTGCTTAAAAACATGGTTCAGTTGAATTTGGATCAGTTTACACTCTTCCCCCCTCCCCTCCCCTCCATACAGATAACAGCCATGATTTGCTGTATAATTATTACCCGTATTTTCCTCTTGAAGTTCAGGGCCAATTGATTCTGTAACAATAAATAGGCAACTTTCCCTTTAAGGCAATTACATTAGGAAACCCAAGGGATTGGGAGTCAAATTCTAAACACTATGTATATGGTATGTATGTGCTTCACAGTGTGCAATATGGATGAAATTGGCAAGATTCTTCACTTTCTGAAAATTTTCAGGATGTGGTTTATCGGTGGCTCATTAGACCTAATCCTCACAGCATCTGTAAACAGTTCAATAACTGAGTGATTTCAGTATTGGTTTGAATTTTGATCAGCGCTCTTTCGAAAATCTAACCGTGAGTTGTATTCTCTTGTATCTTGACTATTTAATAATGTGACAACTCACTTGAAGCGCTCTGAGATGCCATGCGGCGTGAAGGGTACTATGTAAATCCAAGTTGTTGTTGTCTTCATTTAAGCAATGGCTTCATTTTGACGAGCAGATTTGTCGTGCCTCCTACTCTTCCCAAAGGATGAACCAAACCATGTAAGATATTTGTCGAGATGTGGTTAGTTCCTCACAACTTTAATTCAGAGAACTTTTATTAATAATAATGATCCTTACATTTGATATAGTGCCTTTCACATTAAGAGGACATCTCAAAGTACTGCGCAGGATTTTACTGTGAAGTGTATTATTTCTAAGAGCTTCTCTCATACCTATGCTGTATTCGAGCTTCATTTAATGCCCCGAATCAGTTAAGATGAAAGATTATCAATTATTGAACATGAGATGCATTTCTAAAAAAATATATATCATTTACTAAGCATCCGTAAAGCTTCAGAAATAACCTGATGATATCAGTCGTCGCAATGGCTTCCAAACCCTAGCAAGGCGGATTTGTGTTAAAGTAGTACATAAGATTAACTTAATCATAGTCATCTTAAGTTCCTGCACTGGGCAAACTGCAACCTTGTCTGACTTCACTGCTGATGCCCTATAATTTTTAAGCTCTAAAGATAGCAGAGGCGTTGGCAGTCTCTGCCACATGTTCTGGATCTCTCCCAGGTATAGTGGTGAGTTTGATTAAGTCACTGAGATCCTGAAAATCAACAATCCTCTTTCCTCTAATATTTTTTACCAGAATTCCCTTTTTTTACGATTCCAGAGAAACCTGGAGTGGGTCCCTCTATTGACAACTGACGATAAAATGCGTGGCATATTCATGTTTATGTGACTACATTGATCAACCAGATGGGCTGGAAAATGGCCCAGTTGGAGAGGATTATGTAAAAATCCTGGCTTTAGATAATTTTTGTTTTAAGGTCTGGTCCCCTTTCGCCCCATCGTGCTGGTCTGAGTTCTCTGAGCAATTGTAGAGCCATTGGTTGTACGTTAGTGGGACTAGCTTTGAAAAGTGGACAGAAAATTCTGTTTCTGATGTATAATTTCAGAAGACTTGATAGATACTTAGATAGTACCAGCTCGTGCTCCACAGAGCTCTCAGGATATCTTTACGGAGACCCTGGATCTTATTCAATGTCAGTGTTTACGGACACACCCTGTGAGTGGTTTGACCGTATCTAAATGAAGCCTAGCTAATTTTAATTCTGACACATTCCTCCAGCCCATTTTAACTGGACCGTGAACAAAAGGCAATTTTGCTTTTAATACACTTTACATTCAAATCACCATTTTTTCATGGATTTTTTTTACAGGAATTGCGTACCTTGGAGGAACCTGCATTGCTAAAAGAAAGTGCGTGCTTGCTGAAGATAACGGACTTAACCTTGCCTTTACCATTGCACACGAACTTGGTCACAAGTAAGTTTAATCACTTTTTACAGCTTTTTCCACATATTGTACCTTTATTGTTTCATAAATCTGATGCAATTGTCAGATTCCTCTCAATGGACAATGTAACCAAAGTCTTCATAAAATTGGAGTAAGTGCAACCATAAAGAAGCAACATACCTCTTCATCTCCTGCTGAGAAGTTATATTGCTCGATTGACTGACTTTGTGTCTGTGTTTGTCTTTTGTTTTATGTTGCGCTGCTAATTGCCTGGATTGTAAAACTAATTGTTTTGCATTTCTTTCAACTTGAACTTACTGTGAATGTTTGTGCTAAAGAAATGAGCAACTTGCTGGCTGAGGTCTCTGTGTTTCACAGTGTTTCCAAACACCAGTGTCCACGAGGCTGAGTGAGAGTTGAATGTGGAGCTCGTGCTCTGCTGACGTTGGTATGTGAACAAAAACTCAAGCGGGTGGGAGGTTTGTCTTTCATGGAGCAATACTTTACAGGGATGTAATTTATAGTGAAGTGCTTCATCCGGAGACTTCTCAGAGGGAAGCACATTCCCACTGGACCAAAACCCCATTAACTATCATTCCATCTTTATTGCCATTTTGGGTGGAAAATTGAAAGTGCTAGTTGGAGGAGTCCACTGAATAAATACAGTACGCCTACTTTTAAAAGTAGCTCCAAAGCCAGAGACGACACTTCCTGTAGCTGACTATGAATCTTCAGCCGAGCATCCAGTGAATGCCGTTTGGAACCCTGGATTGAGTACGACCTCATAAAAAAGTAGCAAAAATAAAGAATATGGGATTGTTTAATACTGTACTCAACATTATACTTACAGCATATTCCTGTGGCTGAAAGGCTGGGTTGCACCTGTATAAACTTGGCAGCCAACACTTTGCTCGTGCCTGTCCTCTTGAATCACTATGTGAGTGTTTATTGTGAAGTGTTCCATACTCCTGAAATAGTGATTCACACACCGGTGTAATTGAGACATCACCTCAATGTAATCCACTTATAATTTCAACAGTCGGAACTGTTTATTTAGCAGACTGCACCTTATAATTTTCAACTTGAATGTTGTTAGAGCATCGAAGGCAGCGGGGCTGAAAAGATGGTCCACACAACCTTTCCTTTTTGGTCAGTCGGTTCTCTGACACATGTGGACACCCATCATCGCAGGTAGGAGTATCCAAACCAGACTGAGATTTCTGCGCATGTATTCCACTTACGCCTGGAGATTTCCCTGGGTTTGGAGTGGAACACAATGTGTGCTCTTCCCTCTGGAGGCACACACCACACTATTCACAATAGGATTTGCCAAGGATTCGTAAACAATGAATTGCACAAGTCGAATGTTGTGGGAAATCTGTGATCTCCTTCAAGAACATTGGTTGCCAATAGGATTCAACATTTATGAATCCTTTTTATTCCCTTGGCGAGTACTGCAATGGTGATAGCAGCATTGAAACAAAGTGAGACGCTTAGGCAGACGCATAGGAAAACATGGAATGAGAGAAGGCTATCATGTCTGTGATAGACATAAGGAGAGAGGTGTAGTGTAGAAGGAAGTGGTTTAGTATAGAGCAAGCTGTATGAAAAGTATCATTTTATATCAACATTCTTTTGTGTATCTAGTGGGAGTATTTGACTTTATTGCCTTTTTAATAGTGTGGTGGAGAGATCTTTGCCTCGGTTGGTTTGGCAGTTGGGCACAGCATAACACAAATATAATTGTTATTGAGTACTTTTCCGAAGCCAAATTCTGAAGTGGTGAATTCTCATCTGTAGGCAGCAGTTACACTCTCACGCTGTATTCCAGAATTGTTCTGCACTAAGTTTCTTTGACATATATTCCTCAGTCGCACAAACAACAAGATATCGGATGGCTCGAAGTGAAAAAAACCCAGCCAAAACCTGGACAGGAATGCTCTGGTAACCGCAGTAAATGTTAGGCAGTACCTCCTTCAGGATTCTCTAATGGATGTTGACGTAGAAACTTAACCAACATTTCCCATCTGTTTAAATGCATTGAAATTAGTGATATGTGACAATGGGTTTTCACAATATCAGAGTATTATTTACTGTTGCGTTAGGATTTTAAACTATCTAACATATGTGTTGTCAATATTTTAAGAGCGAATGCATAAATATGTTAACAGCGCATTGTAAGTGTGTTGTGTGTTACAAGAAAGGATGAATGTTAATTTTACCTGTAATCTTCACTGTATTGCTGTGAAGGACTGATTGCCTGGAGCTATATAAAATATACTGTTACTCACTTGGCCACAATGACTTCAATGACTTTATCCATTGCTCATATCACTGTCTTTTGTAGGAACAAAGTAAAATTAAGACTTCCAACTGGTGGTGTCCAGTATTTTGTGCATCTGATTTGAATTGAGAGGAAGAATAATGGTACGATACCAGGGCTGTACTGTTTGAGGACTGAATTAGCAGCTACCTTGCACTTCAGAGTTCATGGCAGAGGTACAGAAAAAACGTCTCCTTGTTAGATGTCAGATTCCAGGTGCCAAGAATATTATTTACTCAAAGGGTTAATAGTTTTTTGATTTGAGAACTTTTTAAACATGATAGTCTGTGTTTTGACAGAATGGTTATAAAATTGAAAGAAAACTTTGGAAATGCCCAAAAGCTTTCAAATGCATTCCAGGGCCTCTCAAATACTGCGCCATGTTTTATGGTCGCATTGTGCTGAGTAAGCTATGTGTAGATTTAATGAAATGCATGCAATACTTTAGCTTAGACTATTCTTTGCATTGTAAGTTGAGTCTCCTGCTGCTATATGCTTGGGTGTCAAGCAATAATGAATGTGCACGGTTTTACCGTGAAGAGTTTGGACCAGTGGTTGGACAACGCAAAGCTTTTACTGTGAACAAGAAATTGTAAAGATTTGAAATGACACTTACGCAATAAACAGTTTGTGTTTAAGTAGCGGGTCTAGCAGATCTGAAACTGATGTTTACCACTTCATTAGCTTTTCCATTTCTGTTTAGCCGAAAAGTATTATTTCCTGTGCAAGGATGGCCATGTGTGCAAGCAATTCATTTGGGCTTAAAACATCACAATACAGATGTTCGGCGCTCTAACTCAGGCCAGTCTTAATTTGACCTCTTCTTTCTTATTGAGGCATTTAACGCAATAACACACAGTGCACTATAAGCGCTCAGGGCCTCTACCTTGGCTGAGGGGCACTATATAAATACAAATTGTTGTTGTTGTTTTAACGCACTTTGATGTGTGCATTTTAATGTGATTTCCCATTCTAAGTGTATGTTATCCAAGCATGTAAAGCTTCCTGTCATGTGTGGCGTGTCACCCTTTGTGTTTTTCTGTAGATGTCTGACACGTTACTGAAAGCAGGCTCCAATTTAAGGCTATTGAAGCACTCAACAGCAGAGCAAGTACTTGATAAATGTCACTATTTCAGAGTGTAATCTGTATCTTCTTTATACACAGGAGTTATTTTAATACAAGTATTTCTTGGAGCCAGTTTATAAAATGCCATGACGAAGCTAGACTAGTCACAAATAATGTTACTATCCCTTTCTAAAGGCGCTGATAACAACAACAACAAATTGCATTTATCTACCACCTTTTACGTTGAGAGAAAGTGTTATGAGTCCTGCTGTAACAGCATAGTCAGCTATTTAGTTTCTATGCATGTTGTGCTTCTAAAGCTCCACGATTCTAACACCTGTGCCAATTTCTTATGAGTGGCCGGTGCTGTCATATGGGAATATCTGTTGATTAGTCTCTGGTCGGGTCATAGGAAGTTAAAGCATATTTGGTGTATTTTACCATGCATCGACCATTGCTGAAAGAGAGGATGCCACAGGCTTGGTTTCCAGCACATCTGTAAGCTGCAAATGGCCTCAAAATGTTTCGAAATCTGAAACCATTCATTTCACTGGACTAAACAAGAGAAATTGTTTAGATTTTATCCAGTCAAAGGAATCAACCAGCATTGGAACAGAAGATAAGCTTTGTTCCATTTTCACACCAACCATCTTTGAGATTGGTAACCAACATCAACCAATAATTTATAATCGTTGCATTTGATATAGCGCCTTTCAAGTCTCAACAGTTCACAGGATTTACTTTTAAAGTGTGGTGACTGTGTATCTTGTAGACGACCAAAGCCAGCCACTTTACACACGCACAGCAAAGTCCCAGGAATAGCCATGAAGTGAATGACCAATTTTATCTGCTGGATTGTTGGCTATTCTCGTTTTGAATAGTGCTATAGAATCTTTAACATCCATTTGAACAGGCAGATGGGACCTCAATTCAACATCTCAATAGCCATCAGTACACACATGGGTTGTGTGTGTGAACCTTTGCTAACTAACAGATGACTGTTAATTGTGCTTGTTCACAAGGTCAGAATTTCTACCTTCCTTGCTGGACTTTTTAGCAGTGCATCATTTTCTGTAGAGGATCTACAGAGAGTTCTGAAAGTATTTGCCAGTTGAACAATTTGTAATGCAAATGAACATCAAAGTTAGATTAAGCCCAATTTGTTTGATGGGAAAATGTAATACTTCAGCTTCCTGCGATATTTTCTGCATTTGCTATTTTTCGAGGGAGTTCAGCTCTGCTTAAAAGATCTCTGAGAACAAATCCTGCCCAGGTGGTGGTGCGACCAGCATGGCAACATAATCTGACCTTCATCGGCTGCGTGGTGTACCGTTTTGTTACAACTTTTATTTTCGTTGTAACGTACACACACTTGCAGGACTTTCCAGAATGCCTGCCAGGCAAATAGCAGAGGCTTGCTTGAATCTCACTCACTCAATGCTGTGTTTATTCTGTAGCATTGCCGTTGGTGCTAGCCTTCCCCTTTGGCAGCAATGCTGGAATGTAAATGAGACGGCAGTGCTGACTGACTGACTACAGCCAGAGGTGGGTTTCGTTGAAAGTAAACGCTAAGGCTGCTGTCAGTGCCTCTGCCAGAGTATCTGTACACCCAGATGTTGCTGTGTTATCTGTGTTGTCAC